CAATGCTGTCTATCTTTTTGTTAGAGAATATGTTCCTAGGAATATAACCAAAATTTTCCTTCAATTTAAATGAAGCACTTTCCTGTTAATCAAATTGACTTCTTGTGGTTTTTAGATACAAGTCAGGTAGCTCTGACACAATTTTAGCAAACACCAGTGTTTCCACGTGAGTGTTAACAATTCCAGGAAGTGAGGTTTACAAAAGGAGTGATGGTGCTATGTGTATCCACATAGCTGGACCAATTCACATGATGTGTAAGTTGAAGTACTTGAATTGAATTTTATCTTGCAAAACTTCCTATGATTCACTGAAGCTACAGGTTTTTACTTGTTCTACAAAGGGATCTTCCCTTGTAAACACATTTCTACTCTGGTCAAGCTGATTAAGGGCAGTCATTATGCAATGCTTAAGTGGGATTTTTGATATTTTATATGTGTAATCATCATTATGATTGCCTAGCAGATTGTTTTTAATAACCACAGCTAGGAAATATGCTTGAGCAATCTCAGAAATTGTAAACAGTCAGTAGTCGTGGTTATCTGATCCATGCATTATATTTGTTTAGGCAAACTTCTACCCATGATGATTAGTTTGCATAAACAAAGAAAATTTTGAGGTTGGGTCTAAAGAAGCATGTTGCCTTACAATGCCAAATTAACTTTTCTTTAAACTGGTAATAAATGTGCAATGAATCAATATATAGTATATGGAAGTATAAAAGAAATTACTCTTAGAAATGACACAAGGAAATTTTCATGGACAATAGGTTATATTAGTAATTTTAATGCATTATGATAAGAATCAAGTTTAAACAGTCCACAGAACCATAATTAATTGAATATATTGGGTGATTAGATAATAACCTAAGTCATAAACTATGGTTTAGAAACATAATAGCTCACTTCACAGAATAAACTAAAGAATAATGTGGTTTGTTTGGTTTTGTCTTAGGTAGTTCTGTATCTTCTTCAATTGGGCTTGAATCTAGTTTGTATAATAGGAAATTAACTACCTTACATTGGTTCTGAATTGTGAATTGTGTAGTCTACAATATAAGTATTGACACAACCTTGAATTCTCTAACCTCAATCCTCCCACCTGCCCTATGATAAAGTAATGCTAATTTACTTTAGATAGAGCTGATTTAGGATCAAATTTGAATTTACAATTTCGAAGTACCCTAAGTGCCATATTATATTTGTCAAAGTATTCTTTAATTATACATCTTTAGTGGACATATTATCGAACATTAATTGCACCCAGTAATAGCTTTCTTTCTTTCAAAATAAATCCAGTAGCAATAATCTATTTATATATTGATATTAGTGCTACATCAATTTTAGAAAAGAGAAACCATGCTTTATCTTTAGGTATCTTTTATCTATGGTGCAGTTGAGCACAAAAAAGAAATATAGCTGAGCACAAAAAAGGAATATAGCTTCCTTCTATGAGACCAAACTAGACTACTGTAACGCAGCTGTACTTAATGACATGCAGTTACTGAACCACCTTCACGTCAACTGAAACATTTCAAAATACATGGACAATTTTTATTCAGTTGGCTTTTGAACTACATAGGCAGTGGTGGCAAACCTATGGTATGGGTGCCAGAGGCGGCACTCAGAGCCCTCTCTGTGGGCATGTGCACCGTCGCCCCAGTCCTAGGCCTTCAGCTGGGTTTTATAAAACCTTTTCACTTTAGGCTCCGCTGCCATGTGCAAAAAAAAAGGTTCAATCAGTCAATTTCAACTTCTCACAGGAAAAAAAAGATCTTGCAAAGTTGGAATTGATTGAACTTTTTAGTCCCACCCAGTCTGCCATTACCACAACAGCCATGCCCACACAATTGGCCACACCCAGCCAATGGGCCACACCCACCCAGCACTCGATGATGCATAAGTGGGTTTTGGGTTGCAGTTTGGGCACTCAGTCTCTTAAAGGTTCACCATCACTGACATAGGAGATAGTGATTAAGTATAAATATTATTAAATATACTGGTCTAGTGGTTAAGGCACCAGGCTAGAAAGCAGGAGTGTGTAAGTTCAAGGCCCACCTTAGCCATGAAAGCCAGCTGGATGACTTTGGGTCAGTCACTCGCTCAGTCCAACTTACCTCACACAATTGTTCTGGGGAAGAGGAAGAAGGTACCAGTCCATGACCTGTTAGCAACCGGGAACACAGCTGGAGGTGAACCACAGGCAAGTAAGCTTTATCTGCATTTGCAGCTGTTCCCAGTAGGACCTGATCAGGCTAAGCCCAAGGAAGGGGTCAAACAAGTTATAAGTCACAAATCATTACGCGTCCAGCCCACCTTGAATGCCTCTCTTATCTCCCGCTCATTTCCCTTCACTGTTAGTGGATCAGGTTCTTATAGAGAGCTTAAACTTGCAATAAATATTTATACTCATTTGAACTGCCTGAATTTCCCTGGCACTTGATATTTCCCAGCGCTAGTATTACTGCCTCAGCTCCACCTCAGATCAGGCACTAGGTTTTCATATGAGCTTGAAACCTACTGTAAATTGTGCATGCAAGGGAACTAGATTTTGCGTGCTCCTCCTCCCATCTCGCCAGTCCATGAAAAAATTATGATGCCAAAAAGGTTGGAGACCGCTGCTCTTCAACAGAACTCATGCATTATATACTGTAGCCCAAAAGTAAGCAATTTTGAACCACACTTCCATAATTTCTGATCATTTGTTGTGATAAGATTTAAGGAAATTGTACCCAAACATCTGGAGGACACATGTTTTATAACCCTAAAAGAGCCCTAAATATTTTAAGATTTAAAAATAGCAACCACAGAGTTAATTATATGATTAATTATAAGAGTTAATTATAAGATTATATGAATCTTCATATTTGGAGAGCATCAGTCAGGGGAAGCTGAGGTAAAAATCTAAACTGGGAACAGAGAACCTAGGACCCTCCAGAAACTGGAACTGCCTTTCAAGTTTTTATGAGGCATCAGTGGCCTTGTGTGATCTACAGATGAAGATTAGCTTTATAACAGAACATGATGCTTAATCTGAGCTCTCCCGTTTCCTATTTAATATTACTCTAACCCCTAGTGCATTGATCCTTTGACTGAATGTCAAATCTTTGATATAATGGAATAAAATGTTATTAGTAATAGTACATGTCGAGCCTGTTACAAATAATCCTTAGAATTGCTCAAACTTAAGATTTACTATACTATCATGTAGGTTATCTTTTATTTAATGACTTTTGCCACAAAAATTACCAGAAATACCTTAAGACCTATAAGATGTTTTTTTAAGGAAAGACACCCATTCCTATAGAAGATTCCTAACAATCTATTGGGCTGGCCCAATAATTAAAAAGGTCTCAAATTATTGATTTGGATTTTAATAAAAACGGAGAAAAGAAAACTGATATTTAATGTTTAATTGCATTTTTACTGCTAGGATAAAATGGAAAGAGAACTTCGTGAGATTTTCTGCCTCAGATTTCAAAATAGTTCACCTTGGATTGTATAAAACTTGTATGATTCAGGAAGTGTCATTTCCTTTCAGGTAACAAAATGTTTTAGGCCAGCCTAGTGACAGAATATCCTGTTGTTTTTCTCCATGTCATAAAGGGTTAGAAGAGAGGTGTGAAGGGTGGTTAAAAGAGAGGTAAAGCACACATTTGCAGAACTGTGTTTTAAAACTTGGGTCAGAATAAACATAGCTGTCATGGGACCACAAAACTATAGAGCTTGATTTAGTCAGATTATTTCTGATGAATTTCTTTAGGATTAAGGAAAATGAGACACAATAAGCACAGCAACAATCAGGCATATAGAGAACTATAATCAGTGTAGGATGGCATGGAGGAGGAAACAGAGACTGCCAATAGGTGTGAAACTGTCGCTAAATCACTGGGCCTTCAGAAATGGTGTAATTTAGATCGGGGTCCCCCCTTGGTCCATGATCGGTACTGGGCCGCGGCATGCCAGCAACTAGGCCACACAAACAAGTAAAGCCCATTCATGGGATGCACGCAGCATGCAAAACCACACATTCTCCAGTCTGCGGAAAAACCTCTCTCCACAGAACCAGTCTCTGGTGCCCAAAAGGTTGGGGTCCTCTGGTTTAGATATTACATTGAACCAATGTTTCCTAACCTTATAACTTTAAGATATGTGGATGTCAACCTCTAGAATTCCCAAGCCAGTCTGCTGAAATTCATGCAATTTAAAGTTGTCAAGTTTAGGAAACATCACACTAAACAAAAATGGTTTAGGCTTATAGCTTAATCATAGTGGTGTATAAAATGAAAATTATGCCTCAACAGTGCTTGAATCCAACTATGTTTATTTAAACAAATCACAATTAAAATTAACAACTGCTTGGTGCAATGTACAATTCTTTCCAATGAATCATTGTAAAACAGCTCAACACTTCTTTCCATTAAGATTTCTGACTCTTCTAGGGATGTGTTTAGTCAACAGTTTGTGTCTCCTTGTTCAGTAATCTAAAACACTTTGTCTTTACATGATATGGAGACAAAAATTCCAAATCCAAGGAATTGGCCTGTATGGTATCCAGGTAATATATCTTATTAGTTCAATGTTTTTAAAATGTTCTCAATAGCAAGAGAACTTTATTTTATCTCTTCTGCTAATTGCATCTCTGCACAGCTGATAAATGTATTATCTGCCTAAGAGTTATCAATATGATATGCACTACTTTTGATATTCAAATGTATCCCATATGGCATTTTTTATCCCATGGGACCCTACTTACAAAAGTAGGTTTACACACATTTCTATGACAATCTTTCCCATAATTTAAAATAGTATTGGACAGTGCATTGCCAGCCCACAAGTTAATTAGAATATAAGAATGATTTTGGTCCAGCATCCTGGGATGTGTTTTAATTGCAATTAAATTTGTAACGGTTGTCTAAGGATTTGCTGTGCCATTGTGTTATTTGTTAAAACTGTTTCTGTGCTCCAATATTGAAACTTACCCCTTGGGTTTTTGGGTTTTTTTGCTTGATGTCACAGGAATAGGCCACTACAAAGCAGAAGTTTTACTATATGGTGCCCCTTATACCCAAATGAATTATCTAAGAATAGTGCCACACAAATTTAATTTGATGTACTTGGTTTTCCTTAGATATATTTCTTAATAAATAAATTATTATTTATTTAAAAATGTTTGTCTTGTATTTTAAATTCAGGGTTGCCTTTTGTTAAATCCTAAAATGCCAGTATGGGATTCTCCTTTCCTCTTGCCAAAAAAAATACCACTGCTGAAATAGGAGAGATCACCATGTGAAAAGTTAAGAAAAATACGATAGGAATTCTTTGACTGTAATTCTATCACGTGTATTTCGAAAAAGGCACCGATAGGGCGGGGGCGAGGAGAGAGAAAGGCGGAACGTCTTTGCCTTTCAAAAGAGTGGAGCGGCACTGCAGTACCGATCGTTAAATGTGGCTCGGGTGTCTTGAGGAAGACGGAGGTGGGAAAAGGGGCCTTCCCCGAATCTGAATTGAAGACCAGAAGCCGAGAGGGGCATCTAATTGGCCACAGCAAGCCATGACCCCACCGCTCCAGGCAAGGCTTGAATGACTGCAGTGCTCCCCGTCGCTTCTCTCTGCAGGAGCTACCGATCGCTGGCTGGGGTGAGCAAGCTTGCTTTTCCTCGCCTCCTGTCCTTCCTGCAATGAATGATGCAGGAGAAAAAAGAGGCGGCGGTGGAAGAAGAGGAAGAGGAGGAGGAAGGAGAGGAGGAGGCGGCGGCTGCCATCGCCGCGGCTGTTCCTCTGAAGCACAAATCCTCTGCAACTCTTCCAGTAGGAGGAAAAGCAGCTTTGCCGCTGTGAGCTTACATCACAATCCCAGCTCTGTCTGCTGCCGCTTTTCTGAGCAGCAAGCAGACGAGGAGCATCTCAGCGAGCCCGGCCAGCGGCGACATCATCAGCGGCAGCAGCCGGAGGCGAAGCGGAGGAAGATGCGGGCGGGCGGAGCCGGCGAGGGCCAGGCGCCCCCTAGGATTGCCCCGCCGCAGCCGTCCCCTCACCCCGGCCGGTCTCCGCTCTCCACCTTCCTGCCTTCGCCCCAGCGCTCCGCTGAGACGCTACGTTGGGACGAGGTGCCCGACGACTTCGTGGAATGTTTCATCCTCTCGGGCTACCGGCGGCTGCACTGCTCGGCGCAGGAATGCCTGGCCTCGGTGCTGCAGCCCACCAACGAGACGCTCAACTTCTGGACTCATTTCATCCCTTTGCTGCTTTTCGTCGGTAAATTCTGCCGTCTGCTGGTGTTGCGCGAGGCCGGCGACCTGCCTTTCCATCACCCGGCGCTGCTGCCGCTGTGGTGCTACGCCTCGGGCGTGCTGCTCACCTTTGCCATGAGCTGCACGGCCCATGTGTTTAGCTGCCTCTCGCTACGCCTGCGTGCCGCCTTCTTCTACCTGGACTACGCTTCCATCAGCTACTACGGCTTCGCCAGCACGGTGGCCTATTACTACTACCTGCTGCCCAAGCTGAGCTTGCTGGAGCCGCGCATGCTCAGTCGCTACCTGCAGCAGCGCCTCGGCTGGCACGTGGACTGCAGCGCGCCCATCGCTGCCTACAGCGCGCTGGTGCTCCCGGTCGCCTTCGCTCTGGCCGTGGCCTGTACCGTGGCCTGCTGCAAGAGCCGTTCCGAGTGGTGCGCCTACCCCTTCGTCATCCGCACCTTCGTCTTCGTCATGCCGCTCAGCATGGCCTGCCCCATCATGCTGGAGAGCCTCTTCTTCGACCTGCAGGACCACAACCCCACCCTCTTCCTGTACTTCTACCGCCGTTACTTCTGGCTGCTGGTGGCTGCTTTCTTCAACGTCAGTAAGATCCCCGAGCGGATCCACCCGGGCCTCTTCGACATCATCGGCCACAGCCACCAGCTTTTCCACATTTTCACCTTCCTTAGCATCTACGACCAGATGTTTTACGTAGAGGAAGGCTTGCGGCACTTTCTTCAAAACCCTCCGGCCTCCTCGCCTACGTTTGCGGGCACCATCGGCTACATGTTGGGCTTGATACTGTGCCTTGCTCTGGTCATCCGGAGATTTTTAAATGGCCAGGAGGTTTGCAAACAGGAATGAGGTAACTGCCCTTCAGGGTTTTGTTGTTTTTTTGTTGTTACTTAAATTATCTGTGGCTGCTGCATTTGCTACAAGAATCCGCGAGGTCGGCTCTTCCTAGGGAAAGAAAGGCCAAGCGCTACGGGCGTGCCTGATCGAACTCCTTTGAAAAACGGCTGTTTCTCTTGAAACAAAACAGGTTTTAAAAAAGAACACTTAGGCCACCGTTCTATAGGCAACCTTCTATTTATTGCTGCTTAATATACAAAGAAAAGCCATTCTAGAATTATTGCTTGAAATGTACAATTTGATCCTTATTACATTATTTGTAAGTAATCCTCCTTCTCTGAATTCCTTTTAATGGACTCAAGATCATGTTTTTCCAGGGGAAATAATATGCATAGACAATGAATACGAGCTGCTGGTTTCAGTCTGACTATTTCATGGTATTGTTAGTTAGCAATATACAACAGATCTGCACTGATAAACAGCTGATATTTAAGATCTGATTTGCATGCCAATCTTGGAACTTTATGCACTCAGTAAAGTGGGTATGTGTGTTTTTCGAAGTCATGTACACTGGAATTGTGTTTTTAACAAATTGAGATCTTTTTGCATTAACAATCTTGTCTCAAAGACAAACATTGGGCATACACATTTCTTGTAGAGATTTATTTAAGTGGGTGTGAATTAATATAAAGACAGGTTTAATCACAAGTTTCTATACATACAATGAGAAGAAAGTTTACTTGTGATACATCTTCTCAGATTCTTGCATAAGGCTGCTTTTGTAAGATGCTTTGATTCTGATTCTAACATCTTTTTGCACACTATATATCCTGCTGGTTTGTTGCTGACTATTTAAACAGAACAAAAAATTACAATGTCATCTTTAGAATAAATATAGTGACAGGATTTAGCCATAATCCGGTTGCTTGGTTTTGGCCTAGGTGACCATAATCTGTGACTCCGGTCAACAAACTATGGTTAAGCAGCCCTACTTTGATGTATAAATCTAATAATTAGTTTGTACATTAGAACCAGGTAGGAATATTCTGTTATCTTAAATATAGGCCCATGCACCAGCAAGTTTAAGAAGTTTTTATAATTTGTTTACATGGTCAATTGTATTGGAATTGTTTCCTCTTTCATTCCCCCCTGAATTAAAAATGAGCTGAAAGACTATTTACAATATCAATAGTGACAATTGGCCTCATCTCTGTTTTGCTGGGATTTATGACAGCAGCAAGTTTGATGCAAACTGTAGACAAAATTTGAGGTTTCCAGAGAATATTATAACTGATAGATATACCCAAGGTAGCTGACATGTCCTTTAAGAAATGGAATGTATTATTGGTGTCAATTGTTATCTCAGGATTACATCTAAAGTATAACAATTTCTAGATTTTAATATGTAATTCATTAGTAAAAGTTATGATAACAAAATTTGGTTGCATACAGAAAAAAATCAAAATGGTACTATTTGAAGAACAGCCATTTAAAAAAGATTATTAGATTTATTATTGCTTGTGTTTTTAAGTTCTAAAGCATTTTTTTCATTATATGTGCAAAATCCTGATTTTATTGATTGTGATATATACAATAGGCATAAAACAGGTCACTAATCTGCAGTTTCTACTTTGTATATGGTCCTCCAAAGTTGAAAATAGGAAATACACCATTCTCCCTGTAAATTAATGCCAGTAATTTGTTTAGATTTTTATCTTGCCTTTATTATTTTTATAAATAACTCAAAGCAGCAAATGTATCTAGTACTCCTCCTTCCACTATTTTCCCCCACAACAACAACTCTTTGATATGGGTTGGGTTGAGAGAGTGTGGCTGGCCTAAAGTCACCCCGTCAATTTTTCATGCCTATGGTAGGCATGATACTCTTGATTTCTAACCACTATACCAACCTTACCTTTTAATCTTTAATCGGTTATTTTTGGGGTTGGTCCGGTTTACTTTTGGACTATACATTCTCCATAATACTCAGAAAATTCCTCAGCACCAATAACCATTGTGAAAATACAACGATAATACTGAATAATTAATCACTTGCCACTCACCAAGTATCTGCTTTTTGAGGCAGCTACTTCACTGCCTACTGGCCCTGTTTGTAATGTCATGATACATTGCTCCTTTCGGTTTGGATATATAGTAACTGAGATTGTATTTAAATTTGTGTAAAGGTGACTGTTTTTTGTTGCTGACCTTTTTGTTTTCAAGATTTTAGGTATCAACATTCCTCCGTTATCCAGTAAAGGTTGGTGTAATCTAATAATTGCAACATTTCATTCATTATGTAATGACCAGCCTTCAAAGTTTAAATTACAGAATTTATTGCTATAGTAATCTGGCCTAATTTTTGAACTTTGTATTCTTCCCCCATCCTCTGTGTGTTGTCTGATCAGATGAGATTATCTGGGGAATATGCAGACTGCCCGCTGTTCTTAATACTGTGGATATGTGTTATTTATTGTCCAGTTTATTAATTACTTGATATTGGGGCATTGTCTACAATACCCCCTCCTCCTTACAAACAGGAACTTTTTGCCATATACAGGTAGTCCTCAACTTAACTACCATAATTGAGCTCCAAATTTCTAATAAATGAATTCTGCCCCATTTTACAACCTTTCTTGCCACAGTTGTTAAGTGAATCACTGCAGTTGATAAGTTTAGTAATCCAGTTGTTAAATGAATCTGGTTTCCCCATTGACTTTGCTTGTCAAAAGGTTACCTTGGGGCACAGCAGTGGTCATACGTACGAATTAGTTGCCAAGTATCTGGATTTTGATCACATGATCATGGGGATGCTACAAAGTTTGTAACTAAAAAATGGTCATAAGTCAGTGTTTTCAGTGCCGTTGTAACTTTGAATGGTCACTAAATAAACTGTTATAAATCGAAGATTACCTGTATCTAAAACAACTCAATGTTTTCCCACACAATTTTTGTACAGCTGATATTTTAAAGATTGCAGCATTAAAACCTGAAAACTATTTATTCCCCAACAAAAGTCCAAAGAATCTTTAGTGTGGGTTGCAAATTAGTATTTTTTTTTCATTTTTAAGAAACTAGAACCAAAATCTCTTCTAATAATTGATTGCAAAACCTGGAAAATTATGAATGGTGACTATTTTTTGTCTTTCAAATGCATAACTTTTTTTTCAAAATATTACAAGCCATTTGGTTTACCATTCAGTCCTTTGGACCCCAACAATTATTTCTGTTTTGCAGTTATGCATACAGTTGTGTTAAAATCTATTGACTGAGAGCATCATTCATACCTCTGATGCAATGATGCCTAATTAGTTATACTATAATAGAATTGTCATGTTTTATGACTTAAGTTTTGTTTTATTTTACCTTTTGGTTTATTTTAACATATGAATACAGCTGTTCCTCAGAATTTCATGTCATGTTTGTAGTTCCTTAATCTTGTATCCTTGGGCTTGAATTCTATTTCTCTAGTAGCAAAAGTAACATTCATTTTAGTTGACCTGAATAAAATACTCCTCAAGTAAATGCAAGTATAGCAACAGTTTTCAAAGTAGATATTTTAGCATTAATGCAGTTGAAGAAAAAGTATACTTTATTTATTTATTTATTTATTTATTTATTTATTTATTTTATTTTATTTTATTTTATTTCTCAGTTTATCTGTTGTTTCCTAATTCTTTGTATGCCAGTTCATGATCCTCAAGAGTCTTGATGTTAGTCTCTGTGTGTGCTTTTTAAGATTCTGGTTTACAATTTCATATTGGTTTTATGGATAAAGAAGATTGCCAGTCTTCAAATGAAGAAGGCTAGAGTAGTATTGTCTATTGTATTTTGAAATTACAGCAATTTGTAATAAAAAGCTGATTTTATTTTTGATCAGATATTATGTCAGTATTCAAACCAGATTTTAAGACTCTAAAATCATTCCTTTTTTATAGAGGATCTATAATCTAATTCTAATACTGCATTAGAACAATGCATTTCACTATAAAAGCATAATAAATGTGAGTTTTGGTATTCTAGTGGAAAAATACTGATTATTCTTCAGTAGCAAATTCTCATCCATTGAATTGAGAAAGTATATCTTCACAGACCAATTGTACACAGAGATATACCAGCCTAGAGAGATTTTTCTATATACAAATATATTTTGCAGATCTATTTTATCCACATTTTATCCATAAGTGTTTTATATCAATCAAACCAACAACTGTAAATAATCACAGTAAAAATAATAGATAGAATATAAACTAGGTGGCAAATATTAAATCCCCTTAAGACCGAAAAATGGCAAGATAAGGCAAATATAGCTAACTCCAAATAAAAATGCAAAGTTATGGTTTAAGTTAATATTCAAACTATGATTTATACTGACCATGATTAAATATTACACTTACATCAAACAACTTTATGACCTGGATTTTTGCAGTGGTAAAGCTGCTGAACATGCAGAGAAGTTAGCAGTTAGCACTTATTTGAGCAATTCATACTGTGTCTGAGTTATAACTATGTTTAGTTTCTCTTGAGACTAATTTTGTCCAAATTACAAAGTGTGCCTGTAAGTTTTTCCAATTTTTTTTCTTGATTTCTAAGAGTTTTAAATATGGTGATCTGTATGACCTCAGGCATACTTCATCTAAATATTATTTGGGATATAATACATCCCAAATAATAATAATTGTAATGATATGCCAGAATTAATTGAGTTGGTCTTGAAATTATTTGAATTATTTTATTTGAAATATTTATTTGGAAGATACAATTTCAAGCATCCATTTGACAATTTAAAAAGGCAGGATAAAATGGAAAAGGCCCAGAATTAGTGGGCTTTGTTTTTTTGGGATGACTGAGTTCTGTGTACTGTACAATCTAAATTTAAAGAAAGCTTTTAAGTTTTTCATGTTTATCAGTTGTACTGTAAGGGACATACTAGAAAGCAGAGTGAGATTGTAGTGAGCAGTAAAAATACATTTGATCTTTGGACCATGTGATCTCTATTTATAGTTCAATTACAGATAAAAGTTTATGGTAGTGAGTTGATGCTAGTTATCATTAGAGCTGTTGATTTTATTCTTGCCACTTTTACACTTACAGATTTTGCTCAGAAATTTAATTTACATACAGCATATTATTGCTTCTTGCTGAAGCATGCTAATAATCCCATACCTAGTTGTGACTTTCACTTAAAGTTTTATGATTTACTGGATTGATCAGAGACTAATACTTCCATTTAGGTTTATAATCTTTTTTAAAAAAAAATAAATTACTACTTATTAC